ACGTCCTTCAACAATGAACAAAGCTCATACCGCATAGTCAATAATAAAAGACCCTGAACTCGCAGTTACTGACAGTTTCTTTTCATTCTGAAGGTCTGTGGTTCTCTCTGCACTCCTTCTTTCTCCACCATTTAAAACTGACGACATAAAATATCACTATAGTGTTGAGAGTGGCCTTAAACACCAATCAATCAATATAATGCACATGGAAAGTTGTCTCATTAGCCATCATACCCCATCTCCTCATTTTATTCATAAATGCCACGCTAAGATATATCCAGTCAACAGGTTTAGTTTGAAGAGAAGAAATATATTTTAGTTCACTAAAATAGTTCAACAAAGGATTGTATTTGGTTTCCCACATTTACTCATGTCATGCGATATATGATGCAGCAATAGCTTGAAAATGTGGTGGTAAAAATATATGGTGTAATTTTATTTATTTCTGGCTCTGTTTAAACAACTGCCTCGAGAAAGACGACTTTCAAAGGAAATGACTGAGGAGGCAGAGTCCTTGATTTCTCTCAAAGTAAACAAGAAGCTGTTGAGAGACCATCTTGAACAGAAGACTGGGAAAAAAAGTATCACTCAAAGATATTACCAATTTGCAAACAGTTATCAAAAACAGGTCAAAATGTCATGATGTTGCTTGCTTGTTAAAGAAACTCCTCATTGACCATGGTAACTATTTAAAAGTGACATTCATTGAATTATCATGATCCATTTTATTGTTCAAAATCAAAATTTCATACCATCCAAAATTAAATCATAAAATGTAGATCATTAGAGGACTCAACCATAAATGAATGCTTTGTTAATTTAATATAGGTGAAGAATTGAAATTACATGTACATTGTATGAATAAAAGTATCTCTGACAGTTGTATTTGACATCAGCCTAATTGTCATAGTTAGCTGATTGATTAGGTCTGTTACCTATTTGCTTATCAAGGAAGACAACATGAAAAAGTAAACATGTATGATGACTGTGCAAACTTTTCAGTTTTATTAACTTAGTCAATTTTACAGTTACCAGCATAATATAACTTCTTGACTGTTTTATATCTGGTTTTTTTTATTTCAGGAACAATAGTTGAATTGTTTGCATCAGAGGATAATGTTTTGCAAGGTTTCTTTTACCAGGACAAGGAAATGCTGCAAAACTTTGAAAATTACCAAGAAATTATTTTCATTGATTCTACATTTAAGGTGAATAATCTGAGAATGCCTTTATATGTTTTCCTTGTTGAAGACAGTATGGGTCAGTCAGAAGTTGCTGGACTTTGTTTCTAAGCAGTCGAAGAACAACAGCTTGTTGGTCACATGGGGAACCTATTAAAAAAATTTAATCCATCATATCAGAAAATGAAAATGATAATGGCCGATAAAGACTTTATTGAAAGAGAGACATTCAGATCAGTTTTTCCTCATAGTTCTCATAGGAGGTGTACAAGGAAATAGAAGAGATGTGTCCTTCAGCAGTCATTGGATATATTAAAAGCAACTGGCATGGAATTAGAAAAGAATGGGTGTCAGGTATGGAATTGGATGAAGGAACATTTTAAAATGCTACCAATAACAGACTAGAAAGCTTTAACCAGAAGTTAAAATCTGTTGTTTGTACCAATGCGATCCTACAGTACTACCTGTAACATTATCTTATTAATTGTGGCCATAAAAAAGGGTCACTATGATGGCCCTAAATGTCCATCATTATACCTCCTGTTGATTAATTAATACACAATGTATTAATCAAAAACTGGTCAACGATGAAGGGAAATAATGACTGCATTGAAGTGTTATAATTATATAAAAGAGGGACGAAAGATACCAGAGGGACAGTCAAACTCATAGATCGAAAACAAACTGACAACTTCATGGCCAAAAATAAAAAGACAAACAGACAAATAATAGTACAGATGACACAACATAGAAAACTAAAGACTAAGCAACACGAACCCCGCCAAAAACTGGGGGTGATCTCAGGTGCTCCGGAAGGGTAAGCAGATCCTGCTCCACATGTGGCACCCGTCGTGTTGCTTATGTTATTACAAATCCGGTAAATAGTCTAATTCGGTAAGTCACATTCGTGAAAAGGGAAGGGTATTGTAGTTACGACATAAGGAACATATCCGATATCATCTGTGAAACGGTTATTCCGTAACGGTCAACCAATCGTGATGGCGTCCGTAAAATTTACGAAGGGATGATTATAACTTGCAGGTAAAGTGTCTCAGGTAAAATATATGTGTTTGTCAAATTTTATAACTGTGATTATGACAAGAAATTCTAAAATAAAATGAAATAATAAAACTAGTTGAACATATAGCTTCCTAACTTTTTTTTTGTAAAAATTTTCTGATGACTATTTGTTTTGATGTTACACCTTTTAAATTATTCTTTCAATGTTAAGTTATTTTTTACATGTATTTTTTGGCAAGTGAATAATAGATGAATATCATCTTCTAATATAATGCAAACTTTCACAACGCCTGCCTTTTTCAATTGAAAAGGTATTTCTCAAATTAATTTTCTAAAATCAAAATTGTTTATACTTAGGGGCACTACTTCATTAAGTAACAATTAAAATTACCTATACAAGTAATGTTGAAAACGAGGCTATTTTGAATATTACTTATATAAGTAACTTTTCTGAATATTATTTTTATAGGTGTCCAATAATACAGATTTTACTAGCTTTAACAACTTTCACAGTCATCTGGTTATTTTTCTCATGAAATATAAAATCTAATTCATCCGAAACACTAATTAACTTTCTGACGCACTTATCTTTCATACCGAAGCCTCTGGGTCAAAGATTGGTCTCTTAGGACTATTTAATTATCATTTTCCTCCAAAATCTTGAAGGTAGACTGATATAAATAGATGGATACTTGTGTATTAATTAAGACTTGAAGTTATTTATAATTTGCAACCCAAATCAATTACATGTGTTCCTTAAAAAAGTTTAATTACTATTTTTTTTTTTCACAACTGTATAAAATAACTTTTTCAAGTAATATTTTTGCCATAAATATTTAAGTAACCCTTTATCTCTATACTCCTCTCAGATCAAATGAATTCTTTATTTTATGAATTAAAATGATGTACAAATTCACGAAAACTACATTTAGTCTATGTTTCTATTGAAAATTGAAATAACTCTATAAGGTAATTTTATTATTTTTAAAAACAAAAATTATTTATATAAGTAACTTAAAAAAAATAACTTGTTTAAGTAACGCCCCTGCATTTAACATTTTTTGAGATTTGAAAAATTTAAAAGATAAACAAAAATAAGTTTAACAGATAAAAGTACACCAATTTCTGCGGATGTTTTGCATAAACAAGGTTTTTACTTTTTTAAACTGTTTTTGGTATATGTCAATAATCATAAAGGAGTGTTTACTACATTTTTTATTGCTAACAAATGTAATCAGATCAGTTTCTACTGCAGAATAGTTTTTATACATTGTATTTCATACGTCTATACTTCTATAATTGGTACAAATTTCTCATCCTGAATGTTCATAATTGCCACTGAACATTAAGCAAGCAACAATAAATATACATGGTCTAAAATAGCAACAATCAACATTCAGTCTATCTTGGCATGGATCAATTTGAAAATTAAATTCATATATTTATATATATGAATATATATGCATATATGCATGCTATTATTTTCAAATAATCACGAGGCAGATCCAATTTATAGCAGGAAAGATGGACAATATGTAGGTAAAGTACAAACTCTACAACAGTTATACTACAAGGACAAACAGATCCAATATGTCAGCCTTCAACAAGTAGGATTAATAATGAAAGGGATTCAGATGCACCTGATGCAACCGTCATTCAAGGTAATGATATGAATAATGAAAATTAATTCATGTTAAATATGATACATATTTACTTAATTATTTGCCTCTGATGATTAAGATATTATTGTAAATACGCTTTCACTGGATATACTGTTCCTTTTAGTCATTAAAAATGATTCTTGATAATTACTGTAATTCAAAACAAATAAAAAACAATCAAAAATAAAAATCCAATGAAATATTACTTTCATGTTGATCTTAATGTCTTAATTCTTCTTTGTTTTTTTTTAAATAAATGCATTCTTCATATCTTTATTGTTTGTGTATAAATGAACGATTTTGATATTTTCAGAGTTTTTATTCAAAATAGCAGACAACGCTGCAGTTATAAGAGCAGAAAGAGGTTCATCAAAGATTGATGAAGATGAGGTTCAAGTTATATGGCAAGACCTAATACCATATGCAGAATTAATTTTAAACCTGACTACTCAAGCCGATGCTTAACAATATTTCACATATGAGGGTTGGTTAACAGTTGAAAGCACCATAAGAATCTTTGAAGGTAGGAAACATACATGTATATGAATAGATTTTGTTAAAAGTAAACAAATTATAGACCAGTTTAACTTTTATTTTATTTTTTACAATAGTGTGCACTATTTTTTTCTGAGCCTTTCCTAATATTGTTTCTTCTTTTACCATCTATGGATGAGTCGTTTGAAATTTACCATCAATTAGTTAGTACAACTACTTATATTGGTTATTTTGATTTATCGATTGGTGGTCTTTATCTTCACTTTGAACACCCTTCAGTCTTGGCTATATCATATATCATAGCAGTGACTTTTTATCTAGTAACAGAATGCTTCTTTGTTATAAAATGAGATTATTTTTCTGTGTAGATCAGCAATTAAAGCGTATAAAAGGTTTGTTTTATAGTTGCATTTTCAGATTTTAAACATTTCACTATTACTGTATCAGTGCATTTATACCTAATTTTTTCATGAAAAGATTTGTTCCAGAAACAATGTGTTTACAAATAAATTGTATCATTTGAAGATTTTTCATGGGGTTCTAATATTAATTAATGATAACTTATAAAATTAATTGCAAGGGACATATAAATGTGAAAAACCTACAAAGTAAACAATTTGTTAGTTCAAGCTTCCATAATTTAATGACTTTAACTTTTTAGGCAAAACATCAAAGAACAATCAAGACATTTCAAATTTGAAGAGAAAGAATAGTGATACCTCAAATCCTAACAGTGTGAAAAATAAACAAACAAAGAAACCTAGAATAGATGTAATTTCCAATCATGGCACAAATCTTATTGAAAAAAATTGTGAAGATTTGTTGAAGTTTACAGAAGAAGAATTTGAGAAAATATTAATCAATACACAAAATATGGATAAAGAAATTAAAGACTTCATTATCAGAGGTGGACATACAAAATCTTTACCAAAAATTGGAAACCCAGTTTCAGCTGTGGAAGATTATAGAGATAAAACAAGAAAGTTGACTGAAGAACAACGTACAATATTGGCTACATTTACATATGCAACTCGTACAAAGAAATAAGTTATAGAACACCTGATGTAGCTAGCTTTATACACAATATAATAACATTTGTTCTGGAATTCAATGAAACTGATATTGCAGAAGGTTTGTACTTAAGCTCTTTTTCATATTTTTGGAGAGTCTATTACAAGCAAATGCTTAAAAAAAAGAATAAACTTATTTTTGATATACATAAAGTTCTTATGTATGCAGTTAAAACATTGATGTTGCCAAATACAGATTACGACAATGAACTCTTTTTAATTTAAAAATCAATGTGTGGGGAAAATTCAGCTCAGTTTTTATCTATTTCAAATTATTTTAAACATGCCTTTATTTAAAAGAAAGAGACATTCATATAATATACTGTATTATTTTTTTTTTAGAGAGAATACATCTTGAAGTAGATACAGAGAACATAATAAAAACATGTTCATCTGATGATGGTACAGAAAACTTAGAACCTATTGGTAAGTACTGTAAGAATGCAGAAATAAGTATGTGTCTTGTAAGTAATAATTTTAAGGCGTAAGAATTTTGCAAGAGCCAACAAAAATTAATGTTTAGCTTTTCCTTCTCTAACTAGATATTAATTTATTTTTCTTCTCATTAATAAATCATAGACTGTAGCTACAGCGTATTAGGTTAAGATGTTTCTAAATACTGTTTTATATACATAACAAATCTGAAACTGTTGATGAAGATTTTAACCAAGATGAGAAAATACAATTAAGTTTTTAATGTGCTACAATATTTTATAAATATAAAAAAATCTGCCCCCATATTCAATATACCAAACTAATTCTGAAGTGGCCTTTTGACTGAAAATAAGATAATTGGTTGATACATTTATTGGTGACATTTAATTTATAGATAGTTGTCTCATTGGCATCATACCGCACTCCTTATTATGGCTAAGCATTTGTAAGTCAAATTGTCACACATAATAGTATTTGTTGCACAATATTTCAGTACCCAGTGACATAAAGTATCCACCAAAGTTATCCAGGAAAGGACGACCAAAAGGCAGTGAGAAAACTGTTATTGGTATAACAAAGAAATCAAAAGACATCAACTTCAGCCTGTCTTCAAGAAAAGTAGTGTGGCAAAAGAATTAGGTAATCACAATTGTTTTTTAAATGTTTGCTCTACTTCAAATTTAGAAAGGGTAATTTCAAAATAAAATATTTGGACTTATTTTTTGAAATGTACTTATATGTCTATCCAATATGAGATTAGAGTTTGGTTTAAGGTAGTTTGACAGGTTATAGTTCTGGTTAAAGCTAGCCTCATAAAATAGATGTGTGCTCACATCAACAAGTAAATAAAAAAAAAAACATTTTCATTATGATGTAAGCTTTTTAAAATATATTCCTAATAAGGGTTTTTTATCTAAAGTTTTGGAGTTCACTGACAAATGAAAATGTGAGCTGGTCACAGTTTTCTATGGAAGCATTTCTTGTTGGTGTGGAAAAGCAATATTTTGTTTTAGATAAAAGTAAAGAGTATGTCTTATGTATAAGGAATATTGGCTTTGATATTTTATGACATTTAAAAAAAAATGTTACATGGTTTTTATTCTCCTACAGCAATATTACAGTGGATTCTTGGAGATGAAAAAGGAAGAACAGTTTTTGATGATAAAGAAAAAGTATTTCAAAATGAAGTCCAGGACTTTGCTTTTTCAAGTGCTCTTGATGACCGTGTAGACCTTTTAATTGTTGAAATTTTTTTTACAAAAGAAGCAATGATTGATGTGATGAGTGTAGTTATGAGAAATAAAAAAAAACTCATTTCACAAATGTAGTTCATGCACTATGGATTTGAATTTGAAAACTAATGTTGTTAAGTGCTCGTCCTGTCTAGGATGGAACCACTTGCTATGTGTTTTTTTGAAAACTGTTCCTAAAGCTAAACATTGGTATTGTAAAAGATGTAAGCAAATCAATAAGTAAAGAGTTTGTCATCAAAGTTTGAAAGATGATACCTCCTACAACATTCCCTTCCAACATTATGTCCAATAGTATTTATCATATTGTTCCTCATTATTTTTGCCATTTTTTGCTTAAAGGTTATCAGTTCTGTTAAGACAAAAGTATTTGTATTTGATAAAGCAAAGAACAAGGAATACTACTTGAAAATGTCATTTGTAATTCAGGGTTAGTAAAGCCTGTCTTATATATTATGATGCATATTTTGTCTTTTTAAAACCAAATATTTTTGCTGACACTTGTCATGAAAATGGATCTTTGTATTTTTTCCCAATTAAGTATGTATCGCCATAATTGTATAGCTTCTTTTTCAATAAAATTGATAAGTTTTTTCTCAATGATTTAAAACATTGTGGCCCCTTAGAGCTTTCCAGTTGTTTATGTATTTGTATTTAGATCAATTCTTATTATTATGTGTTCTTATATACATGTATATACTATATATATTGCTATTTATAAAATATGATTGTTTAATATGATATTTGATGTTAATGTTGTTGATAGTATTTTGATTTTCTTTGAATTTAACTACTATATATAACATAAATTTACATGTCTTGAAATAAATTGTTATGATTGCTCCCTACAAGTAAAGCTTGTGGATGGTATTATAGGAATCACTCTGTCCATCTATATAAAAATAAGGAGATATGGTATAATTGTCAATGAGACAACATCCATCTGTCTGTCCATGATCCTCATTTTTTGCTAGTTTGCACATTATCAACACCAAAAACAAAGCTTTATATGGTCAGTGACTGTATAAAGCACAATTAATAGGTATTGTGCATTGTGAATGTACACTGAGCCAATCTGGACCAAACTGTCAAAATCCTTCTTTTGGATGTTTGTATTGCCTTGCATGTGAAGAGTCACATAATGTGAGACAAATTGATGCCCATCTAGTGGCAACAGCTTAAACTGTTTGTTTTAAGCTGTATATTTCAGAAGGTATAAGACTTTAATACCTCATTTCATATCCTGCATACAGATGCCTTATGTTGGTAAATTTCTGTCCATTGTCCTTGACCTCATTTTAAAATTTTCAGACACCCACCTCCTGTTGGCCATTTAATAGATTTTCATATATACATGTATGTTTAATATAATATGTTGAAAACTTGTTATTACACTTTTCTAAGAAAAAATACTGAACAGAATGACTCCATATTTGGTTAGCAATTTGACCCTTGTCAGATGAATTGGTAGGCATTTTAGACCTGCTTCCATTTTTCTGATACTGTGTACGAAAATATGGGGTTTACTAACAATTTGTTATATTAGGGGTGAACATGACCCTAATACACAAACCCAAAGTTGCATAAAAAAGTTTGTCTAGCAAGAATATGGTTTCGGAGTAGACATAAAGTCAATTATTTAAACTTGAAGGTCAAGTTCAGAGGTAATCTTAAATGCTATGGAACACATTGTGTTGAGTTGTAGCACCCATGTGACAAATATCAAAAGCCTACACCAAGAATCTGTAACGTCTGAATATACAAATCCTTACCTACACAAATCAAATATTTTGAGCTTGCGGTCTTTGGTCGAGATAAGTATGATATGTCATACATGGTTACTGGTATACATCATCTTGTCAAATATAATAAGTCTGTCTAAAGATAAAACACAAATTTGGCCCAGGCACTGAAGGTTTCATGAGAACAACTATGAGAAGAATTGATTAAAAATGTCTAGAAACGTAACCATATAAAAGTAAAAAGATGGCATTGCTGAAAAAGCACCAACCAGAAATCTTTGTTTATGAGGAAAAGTTTCGAAAATAAAGCAGTAAATGGTTATGAACAGGAAGGGGTTACACTGCCAAAAAATTCATGACTTGTTTATATTCTCTATAGCCTATAGTCAGACAGTGTCCCATGTTGTCATGTTCCACTTGCTTTCAATTCTTTTCAAGCTTTATAGAAAAATAAGGAGATGTGGTATGATTGCCAATTGGACAACTATCCACCAAAGTTCTGAAGTAAATGTCAGCAATTATTGGCAACCGTTCAGCCTTCAATAGAGAAAACAAACGAGACATTATGGTTGGCTATATGAGGCATCGACTTGAAAAATATGAAGCAGACCTGAACTAACAACAACCACTGAACAACAGGCTCCTGACTTAGGACAGGCACATGAAGAATGTGGCGAAGTTAAACATGTTCGTGAGCGCTCAATGTTTATCCATATCTTCATTTGCATAAAATACACAAGCGGATATAATGGGAGAGGTATTTGATGTCCCCATTCCCCTAAAAGACATAGATTTTATAACAATTAAGCTGTATACTTTGAAGAAAATGCATTTTCTATGGTCGGGTTGTTGTCTCTTTGACACATTCCCCATTTCCATTCTAAATATTATTTGCACTCAATGGTTTGTATCTTGTAATTGCGACAATAATGCATATGCATGCATAACCCATATTTTGTGAGATAAACGAATAAACGAGCAACCGAGATTTAGATATATACAAAACGTTATTCTCTTTTCCTGCCATACTGACACATTTTTAGATTCCGTTGATCTGTGTAATTTTATTTTGACACTAAGCTACCGCTATTGCAAAGACCAGTTTTTGACAGTAAGGCCGTCCAATTTCGATAGAGTATGTCATGTTTAATTCCATTGTTAACTTTTACATGCATATTTAGAAGTTTAGCATGATATGTTATGAGCATGAACTAAAACTTCGAGCTAAATATCAATATAAAAGTCCGATCGGTGATCAAATCAATCACCTAGGTTTTTCAATGAAATCTTTTTCATAAAACAATGTTGGACAATATTTCTCAGAACTACTCAGCCTTTACTTTTCTCCTTAAAAACACGATGTTATATCTTCATCTTTATATATTTTGGCCGGACAAATAGCAAAATACCGTAAAAATGCTAGACATGTTTGCCTATTTGTCCGGCTAGCCGGACGAATCTAGCCGGACGAATTGACATTTTTGACTATTTGTCCGGCTAGAGCCAAACGAATAGCCACTATTACTATCACTTTTGTTAGTGGATCACCATTGAAATTAATGTTGATTATACTAGTAACTTTAACTGAGTAAAGCAATCGTTCGAGGTGGAAAAAAAACACACATGTATACGAAACTGATCTTCAATATGAATAAAAGGAAATGTGAGGTATATGTCATCGAAACAGCAATCAAACGACAAAAAAACAGCTAAGAGACCATACTGTCTTCAGTAATTGATATAAGTCCTCTATCTATAAAGTTGTGAATAAATATTAAACGGAAACAATCAAAACTTTATAGTAAACCAAAAGAGGTTCCGAAGTTGAGACATAAACAATATTTGTGGCGAGGTTAAACTAATTTTTGGTATACTTATATCTAAAGCTAGATTCACACTGCCGATCAGATCGACTCGATAATCCCGATTGACCAAATTCCCACGACCAAGCGCAACCAAATTCGTGATCGGGCCTGTTAACGACTTCTACCCGACAGCTATTCGACAGTACGACATCTACAAGATCTTTACTCGACTAGCCTGCCCAGATCGACTATGCTCAATCTCAGCCCGATCTCAACCAGACAGGATCGACCTCATCGTAGTGATAGTTGGGAATTGATCGGGTATGTACAATTTCAATACAAAAACGTGTGAATGTTTTAAACCTCGCCGCAGCGAAGGGGACATAAAGTATTACCCATGTCCGTCCGTACGTACGTACACCGGAACAATTATTTTCCGTTCTCTCTCTTTAGTTTGCCTCAACCGAATATTATGAAACTTGTACACAATGCTTATCTAAACCTATATCATGTTCTAATTTGGTTAGGACTTCCAGGAAGACAGGTCAATATCTTGAAGAGAGCGTAGAAGACGAACAAGAAGGCGTAGATATCAACGGACGACCATAAATCTAAAGAAGGCAGCGGCTGATTTACCTTGTGACCACTAGATAAGCAGGCATGAACGACTGTTGCAAGATCTCAACAGAGATGACCACGATGGCTATAAATTCTTCCTTAGAGATATGTAGACCACCCCTAACATTCTTGTCGAATGAGTCAGACAAGTCTCCCGATAGCTTAATATGTC